ATCATCGTCATCGCTATTATCATCATCATCATTAACATCATCATTGTTATCATTTGTCTTGAGACAGAACCTGACATGTGGTACAAAGATGAGGAAAATAACACAACAAAATAACAAACAAACCTGAAAATAAACAAAGCATATCTCACCTTGATAAGATTCTGTGATACACTATACAATGCTTTGGTAAGGCGACAGTACCGTACGACCATGACGTCTCGTTTATGACCTGATAATGACATGATTTCCTCTCCTGTATTCAGATCCCATACCTTGACCGTCTTATCTAAAACACAAACAAACAAATTTAAACTCTCAAGTTATTAAGTGTCCGTACTAGCGAGGTTCCGTTGCAAAAGGTGCTATTTTCATTATTTCAATTGGAACGAGGGTTTCTCAAGTAAGCGAGATAACGGAACAAACGAACAAACAAATTTAAACTCTCAAGTTATTGTATAAGTGTCCGTAATAGCGAGGTTCCGTTGCAAAAGCTAGGTGCTATTTTCATTATTTCAATTGGAACGAGGGTTTCTCAAGTAAGCGAGATAACGGGGTATCCACAATGCAAGAATTGAATAAAGTATTCATTTGTTCTTATTAACCTTTTGATCCTGTGAACATATAGTCTTCAGTAACATCTAGAGTCAGTACAGCACTATTATGACCAGTAGCGGCGTACGTACAAACCAAGGCTGCTGGTTTACCAGATGGAGGACGAAGAGGAAGCATACGACCACTAGATGTACAAAAACAAAACATCCTTATTGTCCATTAAACTGCATTCTGATTGGCTATACAGTTGACTCTCTTTGATCGACCACTCTCGTAAGCGACCATCTCTCGTAAACGACCACTTTTTCCTGATCCCGAGGTGGTCGCTTACGATAGAGTTCACTGTAGAGTTGACTGGTCTATTCATGACATATTGTCAGTAACGTTTTCTACTTACACGTCCGGGTCGGAGTCTTGTCCCAAGTTACTGGTCAAACGAGAAAACACATTTTCAGAGTTATTTTTCGTCGTGTTTTCGTCGTTCTCGATCTCAGAGTTTTTCCTTGACGGAGTAGGTGAAGCAGGCTGAGATCGTGGTTGTGACATCGCGGGCGCAGATCCATATTTACTGTTCTGAAAACTTCGAGCTGACTTCGAACGCAGATTTCCTCGAACAAGAGATGCCGGGAGGTTTGGGTACGATGAAACTAAAGCCTTACTATCCCCCTCTTGGGCAATGGATTGGGACGATGTAACACTACCATTTAGGGGCCTGCTATTGCCGTTAGCGTCTTTACGTGCCTTTTCGAGTTCTAGAAGTTTTTGCATAAGTTCTGGTGATATTTGTTTTGAAGGACCAAAATCTGTAGCTCCCGTGGGAGCCAGGGGTCCATTCTGATCTTCTTCGTCTTTGAGGGAGCTGAGAGATGGGGTCTTTTTTGTTTTAATACGGTCTGGATATAGGAAATCCTGACGAGACCCCGTGCGTCGACGAGCCTGGTTGAAAAAGGGAAAAAACTTTATTTTGTTTTTACTTGGAAAACGTTTTATCGATACTTAAGGATGAATAAATTGATTTATAAAAGGATAAAATAATTAATTAATAAATATGATAAATAGATGAATGAAAATGAATGGATGAATGGGAAAATGAATGGATGAATGGGAAAATGAATGAATGGATGGGAAAACAAATGGATGAATGGGAAATGAATGAATGGATGGGAAAATGAATGAACGGATGGGAAAATGAATGAATGAATGAATGGGAAAATGAATGGATGAAGAACGATAGCCATTATCATACAATACCTTATCTCTCTTATTACTGGGACCACTCCCGCTTCCACTAGAGATGTTACCATCCTCTGTCAGTGACTGCAGACTTCCAGTCGACATTCTCAACAGTTCGTTCACATTACTMAGGGTAGTGGGGTCAGTAATATTTGTTAAGTTCTCYGCGCTGAGTGATTTTCCTTGTGCTAAGACATGGCTTAGYAACGTCTGCTGTATAGTGTTGTGTTCTTTGGTTATTTCAAGAAGACCTTCGAGTTCTTTAATRGATGCTTCTTTGGATGATACAATTTGACATATTGATATTGTGTTRTTCAGGAAATGGCCCAGCAGWGCTCGTGCCTCGTGTAACATACAAGATGAGATGATTTCATTGAGCTCTGTGGTAGAAGTTCCTGGATCCTGAAACACATCATATTAGCATAAGGTAACGACGAAGCGCAGAACTCGAAATTTATGAAAAATCCGAATTTCAAGATAGAAAAATAGATKAAGAAACGGCCGTAAAATTTGAATTGCAGACTGAAAGAAACACTGAATTGCATRTTAATAATATTTACCTCCAWTTCTATAATACATGATTGACAGTTGTCAATATTTTCCTGTATATAATCCATATGTAGGGTATGTGCCTCTAGCTGATCTTTTATTTCTTGTAAGGTGCTATCATCTTTCTTTTCATTAACAGCCGTTTCGTATTTATTCTTACATTCTTCAAGCTGTTTGCTGAGATCGTCTCTGTTCTTAATCCATCTGTCCATATCTTTTTCTAGGTTAGAGATAGTCTGCCTTTGAATGATAAGGGCGCCAACCTGATATAAAAAATAATAAATGAATTCAATCAAATATAGCAGAGGGAATCCGGTAAACTACTAGAAACTACTAGAAAACAATTAGAATAAATTAATAATTCTGAACACAAGTAACGCAGGGTCAAGTTTACAGGAAAATGAGTGAGTGAGTGAGTGACAGATTCGKCCCCCTCCAATAACTCTTCGATTGCTTCACAATCTTCGAGTTAAAAACTAATTAAAAGTGTCATTCACGCTTCCCTGTGCCATCTGGGAARRTAAACTAACACCCTATCAAGACGTCTAGTGTGTTTGCAATGATAGACACCTGTCAATCACTATCTTAAGTCCAAAGACCGAATCCATCYAAGTTTCTATATTAAGCATTGCCTTTCAAAAGTAATGCAGGCAGAAAAGTGTTACGAATTTTACTTATATTTTTTTGCTCGAAAATACCACGTTCTTATGTGCGCGCATGTGATAATTTGGAAAGCATGTTGTAAATTATTTGTCCCTACCTTCCTCTCGATATTATCCCACTTCTTCTTAGCCATCTTCACAGATTGTTCAATCGTTAATCTCTTTCTTTTGTCTCTAGCAGCCTGTGCYAGTCTAGGAGGACCACCGTAAGGTYTACTGTAAACAGAGGAGCCTCGATAGCCATAGGTACCATATCCTGATGGTGCTGGCTCCATATCTTCTWGGACCTCAGTCCCATTCATGGATTGTGTGCTTGTTACTTGGTTCTTTCTTGCTCCAAGAGGRCCTGAYACTGGMTTTTGCTGCCTTCGTAGTGCTTTGATCTACAGAGATATCATCAATTAATCATTAATATCAATAATYAAATAATGCAGCGAACACCGCTAGAAGATAGGAAACTGACTCRAGTTTCAGAACGTCAAAAAGTTTTGATTTACTAGTAAATCACGAGCGTTTCATGTAACACCGACACAGCACCAAACTATAACCGATATAACATCGACAGAGCTCCGATGTAACATCGACACAGCTCCGACAGAGCTGACACCATATTAAACGATAATCATCTCTTCTAATGAGAATGATGATAATTAATGATAATTATTATTATCGGTTACTCACCTCATCTGCTTTCCTCTTCAATATCGCTTCTTTCTGTCGTTTTTCTGACTGTAGATTCTTAATGGCGATCTCACGTTGACGAGAAACCTTTTTAAGCTGTGCAATTTCTTTATTTCTTGCCATTTCTTGCTGTTTGTTCTTGGCTACTTCATCTTTCATCTGTTTCATGAGTTTAGCTTTTACTTTCTTCATGTCGTTGAGTTCATTTGTGTACACACGAAGTTGCTGTTCATTACGAGCCTGTGAATGAATAAAGTGATAAATGCAGACATGTATGGTTGAAAAGATGGATAATTAATTGAAATAAATAAATAGGAAGAGCGTAACAAGAACCTGAAATCATGTAAACTCTTTTTGGGGGGTTCAGAAAAAGAGCAAGAACTACCTTATCTCTCAATAACTGAGCATGGTTCTTCTTTGCAGCTTGTAGTTTTTTCAGTTCAGTTTTCAAGTTGCCAAGTTTCTTTTCATATTCTTCCTTGAGTTGTTTGACTTTCTTKGAYGCATCACTATCATGTTCTTTGATGTTYTTCAATACATGGTCCCTTTCGTCTTCAGTTTCTCGTATCTTATTWGTCAACAGTAGAAGTTTTTCTTCATATTGTGTCTTCATAGTTTGCATTCTTTGCTGGCTCAGTTCAAGTTCTTCTACTAGTTTTTCTTTGATTTCGATTTCAGTGCTCAGTTCTGCCAATTCCTCGGCTATTTTTCCTTCTGTTTTAAGAGAATACATGAATATTAAGCAGAGAAATAAAACGCAGTGAAATGGGATTTGAATGGATGGATGAATGGGATAAATATATAAATGAATGGGACCTGATTCTGATTCCTTTTCATCCGATGATGAGTCATCATTAGCACTGTCTTTGATTTCGCTGTCTTCATCTTCCTTTTCACTATCATCTCCATTACTGCCTGCTTCCTCCTCATCCTCATCATCATCCTGATGTATGAGATAAAGAAATGTCAATCAATCAGTCAGTCAATTAATCAATCTGTGAATCAATCAATCAGTCAATCAATCAGTCAATCAATTAATCAATCAATCAGTCAATCAATCAGTCAATCAATTAATCAGAGAGTCAGTCAATCAATTAATTAATCAATCAATCAGTCAATCCATCAGTCAATCAATTAATCAATCAATCAATTAATCAATCAATCAGTCAATCAATAAGTTAATTAATCAATCTGTCAATCAATGAGTCAGTCAATCAGTCAGTCAGTCAATAAATTAAATCAGTAGCAAAGGTAAAGCCAGTCATTCAATCAATTAATTATTCAGAGTAATACCTCTTCATCTCCAGAGGTAAGTTCACCACTACTATTTTCTTCTGTCTTTTCTTCTTCATCATTTCCTGTGAGACTTGTTTTCTTCTTTAGTTTCTAATCATTCAAGTAAGTAAATATATATGAATTAAAATACAAAATACAAATGAACAAATAAGAACTGAATAAATAGAATGAAAAGAAGAAATGCAAATAAATAAACAATAATGAGAAAATAAATGAAAGAATAAAGAAAGAAATTATAATAAAAAACGTTTCTTCATCATTATTCAAATTTCCCATTTTTATTTCCCATCTTTATTTCATTTCCCATTCCATTTCTCTCATTCTTTTAATTCTTATTTCAGCTTTTATTTCATGTACTACCTGAAATTGATCAATATACTTAATATTCAAACATTCAAATGTGTCAAGCCAGAGGGCAGTCTATATCAATGTACGTCAGACAAACTCTAATTACTATTACCACCTGCTGGTGCTGAAGGGATTTCACTGTAATCTCTTTCCATTAAATGGTTTTAAAGGATTTGTCACAAATGTTTGCCTAACATGCCTTAATGTAGGAAAAATCAACAGAATAAAATTTACTGACGATAAGGGAATCATTCTAGCTGAAAATATTATCAGGTCGGAAAGGCTGATATTATGAGTTKAAAAATATGTTAATGTAAAAAAGTTTCAAATTACATAATTGTTTTCTTTTTCTATTACTCTTGATGGTCTAGACTTGTTGTTACCAGTCAAATAGTAGTCTCTAATGCCATTGTTTTTATCTCTGTCTAGTTATTCCCTATTACACCTATTCATTCAGAGAGAGAGAATCCAAACTGACCAATTAGAAGGCAGAATATACTTACATTGGTTATAATTGACCAATCATAGCACGTAATATATCTAGACTGAGTGACAACTGACTAATAAGAGACAATCAGATCAGTGACCAATCAGAGATCATCATATATCAATGTAAATTGATGAAAAAACTGACCAATTAGAGGGCAGGATATTCTTAAACTGGGTTATAAGTGACCAATCATAGCACATAATATATCTAGACTGAGTGACAACGGACTAATAAGAGACAATCAGTGACCAATCAGAGATCATCATATATCAATGTAAATTGAGGAATAACTGACCAATTAGAGAGCAGGGTTTAAGTCCACTGAGAATTAACCTACCAATCAGATGGCAGGATAAATGTGTATATATAGAACAATATCTGACCAATCAGAGACAAGGAGAATTCTGAATCAAATAATCAGGAGTTTGTTTTAAAATATAATGAGTAACAGGAAGCAAATCAAGCAAACAAATGCAAGAGGTTTAATGAATTCAAGAAAGGATGATGAAATAATATGATATGAGCACCTGTCTCATATTATCACCATAGAAACCAGACAACATCAAATCATGCAYCAAATATGGCACATAGAAATTAGACACATTGATCTATACCTGGATAAAAGAGCAATTTGATGAGATCATCTCGTCAAGACAGGAAGAAAAGAAGCATTAGTTACTGAAATTACACAAGAAAAGACATATTGTTGTCCAAAAAAAAGAAAGAAAAAGCTGTAGCCACAATATTACAAGAATTAATGAAGAAATCAAAGAGATTTGCCAGAAAACATGGCATTTTTTTCACAGAAATACAACTCAAGATCAACGACTAGAGATTTTGAGTTTTTTCATTTTAAGATATGATAGTAAAGGAATGAAAGAAATACCACAGAAAATATGTTATTTGGAAAACAAATTCACAAAGATTTGAAATAATCAGACGTTAAATACAAATCTCAACAAACATTTTTTGGGGAAAATTCTCACTGAATCTTATAGAAACCTTTTAAGGATAATTCTCCAATATTCAAGCTGCAATAAAGATTTTCATTTTCCTTATTCTAATCCTGTAAATCCAAGTTAATGATTATGGTAAAAACCAAGATAATGCAGAAGAGGAAATGTTCTCCGAGGAAATGCTTTACAAATCACAGGTTTTTAGATTATTTTTACGATAAGGAAGGAATACCTTAATGAAATGTTGAAAATGGAATAAATAAGCCCAAAAATAGTGACAGGAAGTGAGGGTTTGATATATTAATTATCTTTGAACTTTAAGATCAATATTATCAGCTTAAGTGATTTTTTGGGTGTCGGAAAACATTACCAAATGTAAATAGTTAGAACTAAAAGCAATAACATCCTTTAAAATTAAAATTTATAATATAATTA